CTTTATTATTATTGATCATGGCACAGTCAGCCAGATGTTCGGATTGGATTTGGCATTTTTGTCCACTTATCGAAGGACCTGGGATAGGCAGATGTGGATGTTTGATGGTATTACAGATCTCGTCGTAGGATGAAGCAGTTCCTAGTAAGGCTGCCTTTTGCAATTGACTCATGACGGAATTTGTCAATGCCAATGGTGTTCAAGTGGTGCTCCAGTTGTTTTGGGATTGCACCCAAGGCACCTATGACTATTGGTACTACCCTTGCTTGCCTTTGCTACAGTCTTTCTGTTGTTGTTGTTGTTGTTGTTATTATTATTATTATTATTCTATACCTTAATGCTTGGGAAGCTGATAATCAAGCAAAGGAATTATAGGTCGTTCTTGAATGGCAATCCTTCCTTGAGTGACCGTCTGAAGTTACAACCAGTTAAAACTGGAAAGGACCTTGGAGGTCTTCTAGTCCACTCCCTGCTCAAACAGAATACCCTAGACCATTTCATTGCTTGAGAAGGGGGTTGGACTAGAAGACCTCCAAGGTCCCTTGCAGCTGTATTCCGATTGACAGTCCTTCCATAGCTATAAAACCCTGTCCACCTTGAACTTTTCTGATGGTTACTCTCTTCCCATCTGCTCCTTTGCAGGGCAGCAAACAAAGCCGTCATGGTGTCTAAGAAGACGGAAGGTCCTTCAGCCCTCTGGAGATCCCAAGAGCAAGCTGGAGAGTTTTGCCAAGAAGGGGATCGGCAACTAGCCAACGGCGAACTCCCATTGGCCACTGCCTTCTATGTCGCTGGATCCCTTCTCTGCTCCCCCATGGCCATCAAGAAGATGGTGGCTCTGGAGAAGGAGGTCCAGGCCAACATGGTCGCCCTACTGGAGAGCTGGTGTCAAGGTGAAAGCCCCATTCCGAAGCTTGAGGGACCCTTGGACCCTCCGCCGCTCAGCGTGGCAACGGTGGCTGCTTTTCTCCTGGCCTTCGACCCCCACAACGTGACCGCCTCGCTCTTCAGAATGGAAGCTTTGTTCAAGGCGGGCCACCCCCACCAGGTGGCCACCCAGTGTGACTCTCTGCTGGAGGTCCACCCTTGCGTGGAGCTGCTTCTCACCCACGCTTTGGCCCTGGTGCTGTCCCAAACGCACTCCCAAGACGGGATCGCGGAGTACCTTCAGGCCTTTGTGGAAGATCGGAACGAGACGGTGACGTTCATGAGCCGGAGACAGAGGAGATACACGGAGAAGATCATCCAGGCTTCTTTGGACTGCCTCTCGCTTCAAGACAACGATCCGAAGGAGATACTTAGCCGGAAAGACCTTTGCTATGACTTCCTGGCTGCCATAGCCCCTGAGGACCTCCGGGTCTGTCACATTCAGGCCAAGCGTCTTTTGGAGCGTCGCATGTACGAGGAATGCGTGTCCCTCTCCAGCAGGGCCTTAGAAGCCTTCTCCTCCAGCGACGAGGAGACCTCAAGTCTTCGGATGCTCCGAGCCGCGGCTTTCTTTGCCATCGGAGGCCACGTCTCGCAGATGCTGATGGACCTCATGGCCGCTTTTGAGGCTCACCCCGAGCTGGCCAAGATCTCCTTTGAAGCCCTCTTCTCTCCAGGAGAGGCTGGAAGAGTGGAGAAGGACAGCCGGGCAGTCCTGGAGGCGGAGTTTTCCGCTTACAGAGAAGCCGTCCGCGTCAGGAACGAAGTCCGGAGCAACGGTGGTCAAGAGTTGATTCCTCCCGTCCTCCGTACGCTCCAGTTTCTCATCCGGATCGCCCCGGGATCTCTGCGGGAACTAAATGTCCGCTTAGCAGATTGCTACCTCCTGGAAGGTAACGTCCCAGCCTCCTTGGAGATTTGCAACCGCCTCTTGGCCTCTGCAGAAGCCACCTACCGGAACACCCTCCTGGCCCAGCGCGGGCTCTGCCACCTTCATGCCAAGCGCCACGCAGAGGCCCTCGGAGACTTCCAAGCGGTCCTGGAAGACGGTACGCCGCATCCCAGCAGCTGCGTGAAGGCCCTGTGCGGACGGGGCCTGATCCGTGCCTGGGCTGGCCAGCCGTATCTCACCGCCTTGGATTACCTGACCGCCTGCGGACTCAGGTTCGAAGAAAGCGGGTTTGTGATCAAGGCCTACGTCCCCTGGAACCAGAGAGGGTTCCTCCTGCTCGTCCTTCAGGAGCAAGTGCAGAAGATGCTGGAGAGGAAGGAGAAAGTCCGTGGCAGGTCAGAGGACCGATTGGAGAAAACGGGATGGATGGACGGCCTCCAGAAGGACGGGTGAGTCAGCTAGCTTGGAAAACCAAGCTTCCTTCCTTCCTTCCTTCCTTCCTTCCTTCCTTCCTTCCTTCCTTCCTTCCTTCCTTCCTTCCTTCCTTCCTTCTTTCCTACCTTCTTTCCTTCTCTCCTTCCTTCTCTTTCCTTCCTTCCCTCCCTCCCTCCTTCCTCCCATTCCCATCTTCTTCCTTCCTTCTTTCCTTCCTTTCTTTCTTCCTTCCTCCCATTCCCATCTCATTCCTTCTTTCTTTCCTTCTTTCCTTCCTTCCTTCCTTCCTCTCTCCCTCCCTCTATTTTCTTTTTCTCTCATTTTTTTGTCTTTCCTTGCTTACTTCCTAACTTTTCTCTTTCTTCCTTTCTCTGCTTCCTCTTCCTTTCTTTTTTTCTATCTTCTTTTTCCTCCCTCCCTTCTTTTTTATTTATTTATTCATCACACTTCTGTGCCACCCATCTCACCCAAGTGACCTTCCTTCCTTCGTCCCTTCCCTCCCTGCTAAAATTTTTCAACGCAGAATTACTCCAATCTTTTGCAAGCTACAGGTCCGAATCTCTGAACCTGCCAGGCTGCTATCCTGAATTTTACTCTTCTCCCCTCACCTCTGCCCTTTCCTCCTCGCTTCGCCCAGGGATCCCTTTGGGATCCACCAACTGGCTTCTCTGCTTCTGGAACTGGACAGTTCGGACGAGGCGTCGCGGCTGCTGTGCGCCGATGCTTTGTACCAACTGGATCGCCTGGAAGAAGCCCACAAGATCCTTCGGCTGGCCCTCTCCAAGGACTCGGAGAAATCGTCCCTTTTGGCCCGGCTGGCTCTTTTCCAGCTGAGGAAAGGCCGCGTCCCTGACTGCAACCAGGTGAGAAATCAAAGCTCCCTTCGCCGTCGCCCGAATTCCTGGGATTTTAAGCAACTTTATGAACTGGTTAATTGTTCTAACGGTCTGAAAATGTCTCCTTAGTTCCAGGTTGCTTCTCTCTTTGTGGGAGTATTGGGGTGGGGGGGGAAATCCACTTTTTCCCTGCAAAACAAAACGGTCAGCGAAGGCTGACCAATCTCACCTGTGTGCTTCTCAGCGAAGCACCTGCACACGGGAGATTGATTGCTGCAAAAGCTCCTTTAGGAAGAAAATATGAGAATGGTTTGTGGAAAAGCTGGTCCGGAAATACTAGCCAGTGTCCAGCAGAGGGCGCTCCTGCCTTTGAAATGGAAGAATGGGCCATTTCACAGGCATGCTTTGCATTATTAAGGAGAATAGGGGTATCAATAAATATGCCTCGATTTACCACCACAACGGAGCGCCAGATTTAGTGGCTTAAGACATTTGTTAAGTGAGGTTTGCCCCATTTTGCGACTTTTCCCACCACGCTTGTTAAGTTAGTAACCTGGTTGTTAAGCGAATCGGACTTCTCCCCCATTGACTTTGATTGTCAGAAGGTCTCAAAAGAGGGTCGCGTGACCCCAGTTGGGGACAGACTTAGCAACTGGTATTTCTGGGATTCAGCTCCCAAGTGTCCCGCATTCCTAGGCAGCTTAACATTTGAGGATGCCAACCACCGTCCATAATTCTCCTTTTCTTTCCCGCCTAGTACTTGAAGAAGTTGATTCAGACAGGCAATTTGTCCTGCCTCCAGGCCTTTGTGAAGGTTTTAAAAGAAGACGACCGAGTCCTGTGGAAAAGCCACTGTCACACCAGGGCTGTGGCTGTCCTGCAAAACGAACCAGGCGAGGTTTATCTGAAGGAAGCCGTTGCCTACCTCTCCTTGGCCATCCCCGCGGGCGGTGAGACGATCCCAAATTATGTTCCTTTCCTTTAGCACAGTAGTTCTCAACCTTTTTAATGCCGCAACCCCCAACCGGTCGTAAGTCGAGGACTACTCAACCGGTCGTAAGTCGAGGACTACTCAACTGGTGCAGCACCGTTTGCAGAATGGGACTTTTGGCGGGCTCAGCAGGGCAGAGACAGCCTGGACAATTCCTATTGGCTTTTGAAAGCCAATAGAATTAGACTCTATTCAAGAGAGTCTATTCTATTGGCTTTCAAAAGCCAATAGAATAAAAGGGAGTAGCACAGCTAAGGAAAAGGGGGGGGGGGGAACTGGCGGACTGCGTTGTTTGGCGACCCCCGTGAAATGGTTGTTCGACCCCAAATGGGGTCCCGACCCACAGGTGGAGAACCACTGGCTTAGAAGTTGCCTTCCTCTGCTCTCTTTCCCTCTTTTCCAGCAGAAAAGTTTCTGCCCTCCCTTTTGCGTCCAAAAACAACGACCCTCTGGGGTAGGCTGGTTGGCTTAGAAGTCTCTGGGGAATCCTGGGAATTGAAGTCCACGTGTCTTAAAAGTGGCCGAGATTGGAAAAACACGACACTGGAATGCCTCTGATGAAAGTCTTTCACATTTTTTAAAGTGAATGGCTGAAAGTTGGAAGGGACCTCAGAGGTCTTCTAGTCCACCCCTCCCCTGCTCAAGCAGGAGACCCTATTCTGTTCTGGATAAATGGTTGCCTAACCCTTTCTTGAAAACCTCCAGTGATGGAGCACTCACAATTTCTAGAGGCAAGCCGTTCCACGGATTAATTGTTCTCACAGTCAGGAAATTCCTCCTTAGTTCTAGATTGGATCTTTCTTTAATAATCTTCCACCCGTTAATTTAATAATCTTTAATCTTTTTGGGGAAACCCTGCAGTTTCCTTCAGATAACAGAGATTGGAATCTAGTTAATGGAATAAAGGGAGAGTCTCCAATTAGCAATTGACTGGCTATTCTTATTGAACGATGTTTTCTTTCTTTTCCTTCACACTGTCTTTTTATTCCTCTATCTCTTCCCCCCACCACCACCCCCAGTTTGTGTTAGTTTTTACTGTTGTAATTGTAACCTCTAATAAAATTATTCATTAAAAAAGCGGGGAGGCTGCCAGCTCTAAGGATGAGACAGAAGGGCAGGGTAAAAATGTTTTTTCAAATCGGAATAAACATATTGTCCCTTTCAAGGTTAATGTATCCAGATGGAAAGCACTGAATCCATTTATTTTTTTTATTTTTGCCTAGGGGGTAAGGCTGTCGATTCCCTTCTGCTGCGCGCTCGTTGTTACGGGCTGCTGGGACAGAAGAAAACAGCCATATTTGATTTTAAGGCTGTCTTAAAAGAAGATCCGAGAAACACCCGGGCTCTTTGTGGGAAAGCGTTCATTCACCTGGCCCTGCATCAGAAGAAGGTGGAAATTGCATTTCATTGTTTTGATTGTTGTTTTTGAATATTCATCATAATGATAGAGAACGGAGAGGAAAGAAGGGAGGGAGGGAGGGAGGGAGGGAGGGAGGAAGGAAGGAAGGAAGGAAGGAAGGAAGGAAGGAAGGAAGGAAGGAAGGAAGGAAGGAAGGAAGTCAGACCCAGCTGATAAAGGGATGACGAACAGAGACAAAATACATCGGTGAATTAGAATTACTTCAGCTTCTCAGCCCGTTGCAATCAAGTTCAGCGAAGCCCAAATGTTGCGAGATGTCAAATTGGATCCATTATTGCTTCAATTTTTAATTGAAGTTGGAGAAACGCAGTCCTATTCCGTGCCCCTTGCTTCCTTAGATCTTCCCAAAAGGAAGGACTTCAATGCTTAGACCATGTCTCCACTCTCCTCCGCAGGAGTCAACACAAGATCTGATCTCAGCTCTCCAAGGGGATCCAGCCTCAGCTATGGCCGAAATCTGCTCTCTAAAGCCGGACACTCAAATCCAAATTCGCTCTTGGCTGCTGGAGTACTGCAAGGATGCGTTGATGGACCTTGGCCGTAGCCAAGACCCCCTTGCGGCAGAAACCTTGAAGGACCTCTCCAAAGTGGGAGAAGCCTTGGTGGAAATGGACAACCAGGACAACGAAACCCACATCCTTTGTGTTGACCTCCAAATCGCAAGGGGTAGGAGAGATCAGGAATAACGTCCAGGAGAACAGGTCCCCAAATTGGGGAGCAGGAAGGACAGGTGTCCCAAAGGTTTTTTTTTTTTTTTCAGGAGGCAACTGGACTTTCTTGTTTTTCTTTGAAGACGTTTCTCTTCTCATCCAAGAAGCTTCTTCAGCTCTGACTGGATGGTTGGGAGTGGAAGGATCTGAAGTGAGAGCTGAAGACGTTTCTTGGTTGAGAAGCAAAATGTCTCCAAGAAAAATGAGAACATCCAATTGCCTCCTGAAAAAAAAAGCATCTTTGGGACCACCATGGATGACTGAGAATCTCCATAGACAAAAGGACAAGTAGGTCTAGCTTGGACACCAAGCTTATTTAGATATTTCTCCTCTAGGTACCTACTACTGGAACATTAAAGTTGGGTGTCCTAGCTATGGACCGATCTTCCCTCCACAGCAGCATGGCTATTTCTATCCTTCAGATTTGAAAACACCCCGCTTTGATGAACACCCCACATTTCTACAGCTGTTTGTCAAGTGTCACGGTCCAGTTGAGCATCACCCATCCCTTTTGAGGGACAGGGATGTGGGGAGAACCCTTTTACCCGTTATATTGAAGAGGAAGAATGGAGGAAAAAAATGAGAATAACTTATTGGGTTCATCGCTAACACTCCAAGTTAAAAGAGGATTTGTCTAGCTGTTGATTTTGTCTAACTTCTGTCTTGATTTTGGCTGGCAGGAAGACCCAAGACTGCTCTGTCGTATCTCCAGAAGATCTTTGGGCAAAGTGAACCCAACGATGCCGTCAACTCTCGGCTGGGAATTCTGCAAGCGATATTGGGGAACTTGAACGGAATCCACATTTTAGCCACCTTAGCAGCAAAGGAACACAAGGACTTAGAGCACCTGATGGGGTTTTTAGATGCCAACCAGCGGCTAAATCTTGCTCAGGTACGTCCACCACCCACTTAAATAACACATCAAACCCAGGTTTAGAAAACAAAGCCACTACGTTCTCATCTTGTGGGACATCCAAGAAATCCTATTTATTCTTGGTTTTTTTGGTTTAACCGATGTGGAAAGACAACGTACTTTTGATTCTAAGGCACTTTGACAGTTTAAACGCTACATTTAACAGAATGACAGAGTTGGAAGGGATCTTGGCGGTCTTCTGGTCCAACTCCCCTGCTCAAGGCAGGTGATCCTACATCATTTCAGCCTATGGCTGTCCAATCTCTTATTAAAAGCCTCTTATTAAAAGCACCCACAATCTCTGGTGGCAAGCTGTTCCACTGATTAATTATCCTCACTGTCATGAAATTTCTCCTTAGTTCTAGGCTGCTTCTCTCCTTGGTTAGTTTCCATCCGTCGCTTCTTGTCCTGCCTTCAGGTGCTTTGGAGAATAGCTTGACTCCCTCTTCTTTGGGGCAGCCCCTGAGATACTGGAAGACTGCTATCATGTCCCCCCCTCCTCCTTCTCTTCATTAAACTAGACCTCCCCAATTCCTGCAACTGTTCTTTGTATGTTTTCGCCTCTGGCCCTCTCATTTTTAAGGGCTGTGTTTCAAAAGGCCCCAGGTCACCACACTTCTGGACCACTGAGATGGTCTTCAGGTTAGAGACGAAGGTTTGGAAGACCTGCAGAAGGCGAGCATTTTGATTCCCAGGCAAAGCACAGTCAGAACATCTCAGCCTCCTGAACTTTTTTGTCGGCTTGGATGTGTGACATCACGCTAAGCCACCTAGGTGTGTGATGGAGAATTAAGCCAAGGCAGAACTGGGGTAACCACCATCATCTTTATCTCTAGGTTGCAGCCAGAGAAGCGAAGGCAATGCTGAAAGACCAGTGTCCCCTAGGAGCTGTCAAATACCTCACCTTAGCTACCTTGGCAAGCCACAATAACCCACAATATCTTCGCCAGCGGGCTGCTTGCTGGACCCAGTTGGAAGATTACCGGAGCGCTCTGGCAGATATCCAGATGGTGGTGCGAAAACACAGCACCAACACCTTGAAAACTCAAATTGGGGACTTCTGTTCCTGGGGACACCTGCTGCTGTCCACTTCGGAGGAGGAGCTGGCCGTAAAGCAATTTATTCACGCCCTACAGCTTGACCAGCCCTTGGCCCTGAGCCATGTCCTCGCCGATCACAGGAGGGAGGAGGTATCCAAAGCCTTCCTACGGACCGCCCACACTTATTTCGCAGCTGGCCATTACGAAGAAGCGTGGACGACTGCAAAGTTTGGCCTCCTGGTTGACCACAACAGCCCTGGCCTTCAAAAGCTAAAAGCCAGAATTAAACGGCAGGCCTCGGGTTGCGGAATTCAATAACGTGTTTCTTGTTATCGATTTAATTAAGTCTAACAATCGCATCGTTCTTGGTGTTTTTTTTTCTCCTTTCCTTTTGCTGGCTACAAAATTCGGTTAACTAAAGAGGGAGACATTTGATTGGATAACCAAGTTTTGGAGGAAGAATTTGACTTATTAAGCAGTTTCTTGAGCTTTTTTTTCCAACATGTGAAGTTGAATGCTTCAACTTCAGACTTGTCTCCTGCTTCCTCTCACTTCCTGCTTGGGCAGTTACCTGGTTTTAACTTCCTGGAAGAAAAGCAGAAGCCGTTTCATCCTCGTTTACCCCTCTGTGAATATCTAGGCAACCTTTTTGTCTTCGGATGTGCCGACTTCATTTCCCTTCGGTCCTCGGCCAGCATGAGTTGGCACGGAATCAGTAAAGGACCCGTCTTGTCCTCAAGTCATAGAATCACAAGGCAGGAAGGGACCTTGGAGGTCTTCTAGTCCACCCCTCTTCCAAGGCAGGAGACCTTACACCATGCTGGACAAGCGGCTGTCCAGTCTTTTTTTGAAGGTCTCCAGCGATGGAGCACTCATACCTCCAGGAAGCAAATGAAGACAATGTCCTAGCTCACGGGGGTCTCCAGGCTTGCCCACTTTCAAGACTTGTGGACTTCAACTCCCAGAATTCCTCAGCCATCCATCTCCTTAAGTAAGATGAGGACTCTCAACCGAACATCCAAAGTTCTGGAGAACCTCTGAAGACATTTGAGGTCCTCCACCTTCCGCGCCTGGGACACCATGCTTGAAAGGCTGCGCTTAATTCAACGCAATTAATATGATTGCTGCGTGGATACAAAAAGGCACCACGTGCCCCTTTTGTTCACACTCAAAATTACAGCCCAGTGAAAATTTTTGCCAGTTAAAGCAAGTTTGGGCAAGGCCAGATACAAAGACTGCACGTTTTTCTCTTCCTCAACCTCAGCATCCTGTCAGTAACTTTTTAAAAAAAAAAAAAAATCCGTAATTAATCCTTAAAAATTAATCATAATCCTTAACCACAATCCTTCATCCTTACAATTCATCATAACCCTTTACAATCATTCTCAACTCTTAATCAATCCTTCATCATCCTTAATGTCCTCAATTTACAGCAGTTCGTTTAGTGACGGTTTGAAGCTACAACGGCACTGAAAAAGGTGATTTATGACCGTTTTTTCACACTTACGACCGTTGGAGCATCTCCGTGGTCACGTGATCGAAATTGGCAACTGACTGGTATGTATGACGGTTTTGCAGCATCTCCCGGGGTCAAACTTCTGACAAGCAAAGCCAAATTCACTTGACAACTCTGTAACTAACTTAACAGAAATTCACAGAAATTTAAGTCGTGCTCACAAGCCGACAACTACGTGCCCTAATTAAGCCAAGGAACAATTACAGGAACGGGAAAGTCTTTGAGTCCATTTACCGTGCCAAGATTTAAAATCCTTCTTCAAGGAAGATCGGGAATCCCCTCTTTCAAATCCGTTTTGTTTATTTCTTGATTAATTCGATTTTAATCCGGTCTTTAATACCCCACCATTAACCCAAAGGCAAACTATACATAATTTTCACCCTCCCTCCCATTTCTGTGGGGAGTGAGGTTAAAAAGTAAATATTAAGGGGAAACAAGTTCCCAACGGAAAAAAAAAAAACAAAGATTGGAGAGTAGAAGAAATTTGCCCGAAAATTTGTTCTTTTTTTAATCAGCAATTATTCTATACAGTAGTGCAGTGTTTCTCAACTTCAGCCCCTTGAGCATAGGTGGACTTCAACTCCCAGAATTCCCCAGCCACGTAGCAGACAAATTTTGAGTTTATTTATATATCATATTTAGAAACGGTTCCTCTCCGTCCTGGAGAAAAAAAACTACGTTAGATTTGTTAGAAAGCATTGCAAAGCATTCCAAGGACAGAGTAAGTTGTTTGTCCGTGATCCACATATACACACTTTTGCAATTCCTTCTCCTTTCCACCCTGTTTCTCACTGAAAAGATGGGTTATATTTTTGCAATACAGACAGTCCTCGGCTCATTTAATTGACTGTTCGAAGTTGCAAAAGCACCAAAAAAAAAAAAAAAGATTTACGGCCATTTTTCACACTGACGACCGTCGTCCCATGAACAAAAATCAGTTTTGCTTGACAACTGGCTCATATTTATGATGGTCATCCCCTTTTGTGACCATTTAACAACAGGGGCAAGAAAGAGTCGTACAAATATCACACTTAGCAACCAAACTTTTGGGCTCCGTTGTTGTAAATCGAGGACTACCTGTATTCAGATGGCCTTTCCTTTTGGAATCGTGGCGTCGGAAGGCTGGATGGGACCTCTGAAGGTCTTCTAGTCCAACCTCCTGCATGCTCGCCAGAGACCGGGAAAAATTGTGGCCCTTATTGTCATTTTTTTTCCTAGTGTTCTTTGTCTGGGAAGATCAGTCTTGCTTTTCCTTGGGAAGAGAGCTTGGCTCACTCTTTAGATCTTCCTGTGTTTCAGCTTAGCCCACCTTCTCTAGCTGAATCTGGAGCAGGATCCTTTCAGAAAGATCCCAACGGAGAAGGTCCAAGTGATCCATTACAAATCAGCTTCCTCGGAGTCTTTTCCCACCCATAATCGCACAAGGAGTGGCCGGCCACAGTAGTGTTGTAAACCTTGTCGCCTCTCAAAGGTTTGCGTAACTTGGCTGTCCAAGATTCGGGTTAGTTTCCTGCACGGGTTTTACCATACTTTCCTTCTCTGGCACGGTGTAAGGTAGTTCCTCTGCCTAAAACCAAGATAATTTTTTTTAAAAAAAAAATCATTACATGATTCAGAATTTACACTCATTTATCAATGAGAATTAGATGGGGCACAACCTTCCCCTAGGTCTTTGGGTCAGGGGACACAAAGAATCATGGAATTCTGGAGTTGGGGGGTCCCTGAAGGTCATCTAGTCCAACCTCCCATTGTGCAGGAAAACATAATTAAAACCGTCCCCATAAGGTGGCCCTCCAGCTTCTTAAAAGCCGCCAGAGATGGAAAACCCACAGCATAATAATAATAATGATAATAATAATAATAATAATGATGATGATGATGATGATGATGATGAAGTTGGAAGGGGCCTTGGAGGTCATCTAATCCAACCCCCTGCTCAGGCAGGAAACCCTATATACCATTTCAGACAAACGGCTTCTGTAAAATGGATTGTACCATTATTATATGGATTGTACCATCAGCAAAGGTTTCACAGCTGAATTTTTTTTTTTTTACAATTCCCCCTGAAAGGATGAATGAAGTTCTTTTGTGTTGCTTCCCCTCCCGTGGCTGCCATTTTGTGACAGCTCCCACGGTGTCGCAGCTTTGAGGACGGGAGAATTCGCAGGAAAGGAGACCTCAGGTTTTGTGCGTGAAAATGCTTGATTTTTTTTTAATTAATTGTATAGTCTCATTCTCGGAGCATGGGAATGACGAGAAATTAAAGCGGGACCCCGAAGTTATCAAATCCAAAGGGCATTGCAAGACTGAGCAGGGGGTTGGACTAGATGACCTCCAAGGTCTCTTCCATAATTATTATTATTATTATTATTATTATTATTATTATTATTATTATTATTATTATTATTATTATTATTACTTTTTGGTTAAAACAAACAAACAAACAAAAAACGCCTCCTGCTTACCTGTCTTTTGCCGAGTGCTGCAAACCAAAAAAAAGACATTTTCTTAGAAATGTGCATTCTGTTTTACTGAACATTAAAAGGCTAAATTAGCAAAACCCCTCCCACTCCCACTTATTTTCTCCCCAACCAGTGAAACTTTTTATGCTTAGATGGGGGAAATACAGAATTTATGGCACGCTGGCTGAGGAATTCTGGGAGCTGAAGTCCACCAGTCATCGAAGGGCCAAGATTGAAGACCCCTGTCTTAGATGGTAAACTAACCTTGGCATTTTCAGCCAAGGATAGAATAGAATAGCAGAGTGGGGAAGGGACCTTGGAGGTCTTCTAGTCCAACCCCCTGCTCAGGGTGTTGCTGACCTGATCATCTTTATAGTTTTACTCTGGAAGCAAAACTAATTCATCACCTTTATTCCCCCACTTTGTGGCTTGCTTCAAAATAGGAGTAAAAAAAAAAAAGATCAACTGTTTATAGCTATTGTAATTGGCACTGATATCATTATAACTGCCATGTACATACACACACACACACACACACACACACACCTACCTACCTTTCAGGCACTTTTTATTTTTCCACAGTACAAAGGTTAAAACCGGGGCCAGGATCAGCAAACTGATGATTACAGGCAAAATTATTTCAAGGTATTTTGGTTGGGGCCCACAGACCACATCGGAAGTGGCATTGCCTGTGTGTTTTTCGAGTAAGCCTTTCTCACTGCAACTGAGGAAAGACAACAAGAAACATTGAAGGAAAGAAGAAGGAGGGGAGGGGAGGGAGGAAGGAAGGAAAGAAAGAAAGGAAGGAAGGGAAGAAGGAAAGGAAAAGAAACATTGACAGAAGAAGAAAGGGAAGGGAGGGAGGGAGAGAAAATGGGAAAGGAAAAGAAACCTTGAAGGAAAGAGGAAGGAGGGGAGGGTGGGAGGAAGGAAAGAAGGAAGGAAGGGAAACAGGAAAGAAAAAGAAACATTGAAGGAAAGAAAGGGAAAGAGAAGGAAGGAAAGAAGGAAAGAAAATAGGAAAGAAAAAGAAACATTGGAGGAAAGAAAGAAAGGGAAAGGGAAGGAAGGAAGGAAGGAAAGAAGGAAGGGAAATAGGAAAGAAAAAAAAACATTGAAGGAAAGGGAAAAGGAAGGAAGGAAGGAAGGAAGGAAGGAAGGAAGGAAGGAAGGAAGGAAGGAAGGAGAAAAGATAAAAGAATTGAAAATGCTCCTAAGTATTCATTCACCAGAGAGAGACAGTTCATTGTAGACAAACTGGTGAGGACAACAGCTAAAATTTGTGCAGATTGCTGGATTAAAAACCAGGAGAAGCAGAAATTATTAGAAAAAGAGAGAGAAGGATTTTTTTAAAGGACGTGGTTTCAAAGAAACCACATTAGTAAAGCAGCTGAAAGGTCCTTACTTGGTCCATTTCATGCAAGAAAATGACATTTTTTTAGCTGAAAATGTCCCCAGAGGACAGGGCTCAAATAGCACATCGTCATTTTCGGTGCCTGTAAAAATAACGAAAAAAGATTGACAGGGTCTCCGTAGGCTCAGCGCATGACGGAGCAAGAGAGAAGGAGCCTGTGAGTGGTTTTCGGCATCAGGGGAACAGTTTTACATATACGTAGTCCTTGATTTACGACAGTTCATTCAGTGGCCGTTCAGAGTTACAACGGCCCCCCCCAAAACCTGACTTAGGACCGTCGTTTCACACTTACACCCGTCGCAGCGTCCCTATGGTCACCTGATCCAAATTCACACGCTCGGCAACCGGTTCACATTTACGACGGTCGCCGTGTCCCGGGGGTGTCATGTGATCTCCTTTTTGTGGCCTTCCGACAATCAAAGTCAATGGGTGGCTTAACAACTGTGCGACTAAATAACTGCAGCGATCCACTTAACAGGTGTGACCAGAAAGGTGCGTCGTAGGGGTTCTTACCAAGTTGTGTCACCCTGAAGCCAGGAGGAGCGATTGTATGCCTCACACACACGTCGCAGGAATCTTCCCCCAGTTGGTGTATACAGAAAAAACCTGGCTGGCAGGTGCATTTTGTGTTCTTCGTGTAGTGGCACCGCTCTTTAACTTGCATGTGATTTCCTGCAAGGCAGAACGACACATGTTCACAAATGCTGGGTCCTCTTGAGGTCCTATAGCCCGACCCCCACCAGCCTCAATCTGCTTTGGCCAGTCTAGAGAAAAGAAGGACCGGGGGGGGGGGGGAAACGTGATAGCAGTCTTCCCATATTTGAGGAGCTGCCCCAAAGAAGAAGAGGGGGTCAACTTATTTTGCAAAACACCAGAAGGCAAGACAAGAAAAAAATAGATGGAAACTAATCAAGAAGAGAAGCAACCTAGAATTAAAGGAGAAACTTCCTAACAGTGGGGACAATTAACCTGTGGAACAGCTTCCCACCAGACGTTGTGGGTCCTCCATCACTGGAGGTTTTTAAGAAGAGATTGGATAGCCATTTTTCTGGAATAATCTAGGCTAGGGTTTCCTGCCTGAGCTGGGGGTTGGACTAGAAGACCTCCAAGGTCCCTTCCAGCACTATTCTGATTAATTGATCTATTGATTGCATTTTCCTGGTGGCTAGGATAAAAATGGGAGGAAGAAAAAAAAAAAAAACGGGGGTAACAGAAAACCCGTTTCCTAAACTCGAGCAATCCCGCCCAGAGAATCCCTCGGCTAATCTGCTCGTTAGATCGATCGGTTTGTCCCTTTACCTGGAGGGCATTCCCGGCACTTTAAGCAGTTGGTCAATCCGTTGGGATGCTCGGTAAACCAGCCAGGGTTGCAGGAAACGCAGGATGTACCCGAACCCCTGGTGCAGTGTCTTAAAACTCGGAGTCCTAGGTTAAAGAGATCCAAAAGAATCACAGAATCCTAGGGCTAGAAGGGGTTCTATTCTGATTGGTTGACTGATTGACTGATTGAAATGGTCTAGGGTCTCCTGCCTGAGCAGGGGGCTGGACTAGAAGACCTCCAAGGTCCCCTTCCAGCTCTATTCTGATTGATTGATTGATTGATTGATTGATTGACTGATTGATTGACTGATTGAAATGGTCTAGGGATCCTGCTTGAGCAGGGGGCTGGACTAGAAGACCTCCAAGGTCCCTTCCAGCTCTATTCTGATTGATTGATTGATTGATTGATTGATTGAAATGGTCTAGGGTCTCCTGCCTGAGCAGAGGGCTGGACTAGAAGACCTCCAAGGTCCCTTCCATTGATTGATTGATTGATTGAAATGGTCTAGGGATCCTGCTTGAGCAGGGGGCTGGACTAGAAGACCTCCAAGGTCCCCTTCCAGCTCTGTTATTCTATGTCCTGTGTTCAATCTCAACTCAACCTGTTTCTTCCACCCTTCAGCCCCTCTCCTTGCCATGCAGAACAGAGATTCTTCACCTACCTGCGCCACACTTGGGACAACACTCCCCCTCAATGGAGTATTCCCACGATTCACAGGAAGAGGCATTCCGAAGGAGCAGCAGGTGAATGACTACGGCCAGGCGAAGCATCTTTCATAGAAAGGGGGGAGGAGGAGGAGGAGGAGGAGGAGAAGAAGAAGACGAAGAAGACGAAGAAGAAGAAGAAGAAGAAGAAGAAGAAGAAGAAGAAGAAGAAGAAGAAGAAGAAGAAGAAGAAGAAGAAGAAGAAGAAGAAGAAGAAGAAGAAGAAGAAGAAGAAGAAGAAGAAGAAGAAGAAGAAGAAGAAGAAATATTTGTATTGCAAGGTAACAATTCCACTCCTTTTTTTTTATTTTTTAAAATTCTACAGTATATAATTGATTCAGAACTAAGGCGTGAAGCAAAGATAAAATCCAGTCTCAAAACTCCATTTTGCAGTTCAGTTCCCGACTGTCTGACTCTTGTTTTCCAAGCAGAGTTTACTCAGGACAAAAAAAAAAAGATTTATTTCTGGACTTTGCCCTAACATGTAATGTTTCGCTTCTGTAAATTTTTCCTGCTTCATTTGAGCAGCAGGATAGAAAGAATGGACAGGTAGTCAAGGACCGCATCTGAGCCCAAAGTCAGTTGTGATGTCTTGCCCCAGTTGTTGAGTTAGTAACACAGTCGTTAACTGAATCTGGCTGTTGACTTTGCTCGTCAGAAGGTCACAAAAAGGGGGTCACATGACCCCGGGACGCTGCGACCGTCATAAATACGAGTCAGTTTCCGAGGGTCTGAATTTTGATCACATGCTGCGACGATCGTAAGTATGAAAAATAGTGGAACAACCTGCCTCCAGAAGTTGTGAATGCTCCAATACTGGAAGTTTTTAAGAAAGAGACTGGACAGCTATTTATCTGAAATGGTCTAGGCCCAGGTTTCCTGCCTGAGCAGGGGGTTGGACTAGATGACCTCCAAGGTCCTTTCCAACTCTGTCATTCTATTCTATTCTATTCTATTCTATTCAACCTTCACTTGAAGGTTGTGGACATCACCCTCATGCATCAAACTGATGCTTTCATGATGCAGAATGGAGGAAGGATCACTGGGTGGTCTACTTTCCATCTCCGCTGCAGTTATGTGCAGAAAAAAGCGAAGAGCTGGAACAACCTATGGCCCTTCCCTTGGGAGCTGCTCCTTCAAATTATTCATAATCTTATTTTCAACGGAGTCAACTCAATTTGTGTAAAGATAAACAAACAAGCAAGAAAAGTTTGATATTCATTCCTCCACTTTTTAACTCTTACTTCTTATTCTTCTCATTCTCTGTCTCTGCTAGTGCCTGGATCTAATTTTCCGAGATATTTGTTTTTTCCCCTTAATGTTTCCTGGGGTTTTAGTAAACATGACAGCTGTTTTCCCGTTCAAAATTCCCAGCTGCGGTTCCCAAGGCAGCTGATATTTTTGGCCTACAACAGGAAATAATCGTTTGAGGTCCTAACTAGTAGTTCAGCTGTCGCAGCCTCAGATCCTTCTTGGGTCTGTACAGTTAGTCCTCGACTTACGGAAACCGAAAATTTCCGTTGCTAAGCAAGAGGGGCCATTAAGTGCCTCGTTTTACGCCTATTTCTTGCCGCAGTCGTTAAGCGAATCGCTGCCCGTTGTTCAGATAACCAGACGGTCGTTAAGCAAATATGGCTTCCCCATTGACTTTGCCGGTCAGAAGGTCACCAAAGGGGAAACCAGGGGACCCCGGGGCGCTGCGCCCATCATAAATACGAGTCACTCGGCAAGCCTCCGGATTTCGATCCCGCGACCACGGGGACGTAAGTGTGAAAAAAACGATCATCAGTCCCCTTTTATCCCCTCTCCAGGGTCGAACGGCCACTAAATGAACGTCGTAATTCGAGGACCGCTCGTAATTCCGAGAGTCTTTTTCGGAGAGCCCTTCCTGCATTGCACGGCGGTCGAGAACCAAGGAAATTGGGAATAGAAAATAGAAATAGAAATAAAATTAAATTATTTCTTTCCAGAGCTAAGGTGGAAGGAAATGGCAATTAAGCGCAGAAGATGAAATGTCCATTTGGTTTGGCAAAGGTGCAACCATCTTCCCGGATACGGCGAAGGGGGCAGGGGTCACCTGGCTTCCCAGCTAGGGAAACTTATATTTACATTTATTTAATCTTTGGCTCCAGCTTGCTGGCTGATTTGCAGAGCTGGGGGGAACAACCCGCAGGGCTTGTGATCTTGGAAATGACTCAAAGGCTCTTTTTTCCACGCCTCTCTCCAAGCTGACAGAGGGTAGCTACACACACACACACACACACACACACACACACACACACACACACACAGTTCAGGAGAAGGTTACTGAGAACAATTAATCAGGTTCCAGAAGTTGTGGGGGCTCCATCTCTGGGAGATTTTTCAAGAAGAGACTTTTAAAATTTAGAAGAGGGTTTGGAGTTGGCACAATCTCAATTTTCCACGTTTCCATAAGAAGAAGACCTGGGGAATTCCTGTTCTGTGCAAACAGCAGCTATACAACTGCTGTTTTGCAATAATTGCATAAAAGGGTTAGTTGACAGGTTTGCATGACCATGCACGGCCTCAAATTCTGCTTTTTTTTTTTTCAGGCACTGTAAGTAAGTCTAACTTTAACTAAAATTTAACCAGGAGCATGCAGATTTAAAAAGAGCCAGGAAAAATATTAGCTTAACCTGGAAAGTAAATAAGATGAAAGCAGAAATGAAGGCCCTGGTTTTTTTTCTTTTCATTTTTGCTGCACAAGCTGCAAAAAAAATCAGAATTGACTAGGTAGATCTTAACAAACGGCTTTGCAATGCATTTTCAGGCAAGTTCTACCCTGAGTCAGATTGAAATCACCAGGAAAAAAAAAAACCCTGTAGCTAAATTAGCAAAAAAAAAAAATGTGTTAATTCGTTTTAAAAAGCGGCTTTGATCCTTTGGCTGACTCAAATCTCCTTTCAAGGAAATGGAGAGGATATTCGACTCAAAAAATGAATCGCAACGCACTCTGGTCTTCCCGGAAAATGTAATTCTGCCCTTTCATTGGCACCTTTATCACTGTTTTTACTTTAACGCCAGCAACAAAACATTACAGGAAACGGTAAAATTTGGCATCAACTTTGCCTGAAAGAAAAAAAATCCATTGAAATCTGAGCACAAACCAGGTTGGTGAAAGTGGAATTTCCTCCAACTTTTTTCCACCTTTTAAAATGTAATATTTCCTGACAAGAAAAGAGAATTTCGAAGTTGGGAAAATTGGATTTTTCTTGACTAGGAAGAAGTCCGCTGGCAAATCATGAGATTCTTCTGTTTATGACACCGTCGGTATTTTTCTGCATTCTCCTCCGGATTTTTGCATCCAGGGAGTGGCCGGCCAGGCAAACACACACATACCAGAAAAAAGCGAGACGTGCAAAAAATAAAAATAAGCAATTCTCTGGGTTTTCCAGGTCCCACCCACTCAGGTTTTACTTAGCGCTTGTGGCAAAAAAAAAAAAAGCTCTTTTATTTTTTCTAAGAAAAAAAAAATCCCCATCCTGACAAAAAAGGGAAGATGTTGTTATTTTTCTTCTTTTCCTTTCTCTTTTAGTTCTGCGAGGAAGTTCAAAATTACAATTTGGGACTTTAAAGAACGGGAAGTGGGGAGGGGGACGGCCAGCCCTTCTGGGAATATGAAAAGATAGATCAAACTGGGGACTTGGGTGAAATTTTGTAGCTTGACAGAGATCTGGGATTCTCGGCCTGGCCTACTCCGCAGGGCTGTTGTGAAAACAGTTCCTACGGTGAGAACTTAACGGTCACAATTCTGCCCCAGCTTTTCGTTGCTAAGCGAGACGGTTGTTACCTAAGTTTTGACCCATTTTATGACTTTTTTCCCTTCCCAACTGCTGCAGTTGTTAAGTCAGTCACACGGTCGTTAAATGAATCTTCCCCCTTGGCTTTGCCGGTCCAAAGGTCGCAAAAGGGGGCTTGCGAGATCCCCCCCCCGGGGACATAACTACGAGCCGGTTGCCCAAGCATCTGAATTTTGATCACGTGACCGCGGAGACGCAGGCAACGGTCGCTAAGTGTGAAAAACAGTCGTAAGTCACTTTTCCCCCCGGCGTTTGGCCCCACCCACCACTGACTTTAAACCCTCCCCCCAATCATTGTAGGGCTGTACCCCTGTCGGCACACCCCCCCAATCTGAGTCTCTGACCCCCAACTTTTTAAAAATATATATATATATATATAAATACAGTTACAATCCCCTAGCCACAAATAGCCCATTTTTTCTCCCTCCTGCATTTGGGAACTGAGTTCACACGACACATTTGAACCCCTCCATCTAAGGACGGGTTTTAGGGTTTTCCAGGGCACTTTTCTCATTGGGGGGTCAATGCCTGCCCCTGCAAATCTCTGCCAGCCGTGGGGAAGGAGGGGGGGGGACCCAGATTCTGCCTTGGAAGCCAATTAATGCTTCAAAATCTGGCATTGGCCCTGACTCCTGTTTTGTTCAGAGCATTTTCACTTTTGTTCCCTGAGTTACTGGAAAAAGGAAGAGAAAGACACACACCAAAAGACACCAGAGAGCTTCGCCTTGTCTCCAAGCCAGACAGTAGAAATTCACACTTCTTGCATGGCTGACCCCCCCCCCAACCGCAGCACAAGTTTCTAGTCCCTGGTGATAGCTGTCATTCACAGAATTGCAAGAACCCCACCAAAACCAACCACCTCTGAATAATAATAATAATAATAATAATAATAATAATAATAATAATAATAAAGAGCCCTTCTGCTTTCTTTTACCCACCTCTGCTTCAAGTGGCAGACCGTTCCACCGGCTAATATTTCCTGGCTCTGAAGGGCGACTGAAAGCTTTTGCTATATAGATTCTCTTCCATTTTAAAGCATGGACTTACCAGGAACATGTTCCCCCCAATTACAGCGATCCCAGAGAGAGAAGGAAAGCCATAGGATCAAGGCTTTCTGAAGTTGCTTTCCAGTCAATGGCTTCCCTGCACGGCATCCCAAACTTCTTCCGATCGTTTGATTTTATTTATTTTGTTAATTCCTCTGAAATTAGCCCTTTCTCTCCTGGAGAAAGTGTTTTTTTTTCCCCTCCAGCCAGAGAGATCCAGTCTTGTCGAAAGTTGAAGTGAAAATGAAAATAATTTTCTCTCCAGCTCTCACAGTAGCCTCATTTCCTGATCTGGATCCTTTGTGTATATTGTTTATTCAGCGAGTTTCCTTGCTGCCAGCTCGGAAAACCTGATCAAGGTCTTCTTTGATTCTGTGTTCTGGTTCGTTGCACAGTGACAGCCAGATGTTTAGCCTGGATTTTGCAATTTTGTGCAGCTCTCCAGTCTTGGAGAGGCAGATGTTTCATAATGTGAAAGAGAGCGTCGCAGGATGTCAGCTGTTCCCAGCCAAGTAGCCTTTTGCAACTGACCGATGCTGGTGTTGTCAACACCAAGGGTTTTATTAGGGTGGGTTGCATCATTTCAGCCAGATGTTTAGCCTGGATTTTGCAATTTTGTACACCTCTCGAGTCTTGGAGAGGCAGATGTTTCACAATATTAAATATAGCAGAATAGAATAGAATAGAATAGAATAGAATAGAATAGAATAGAATAGAATAGAATAGAATAGAAGCTGGAAGGGACCTTGGAGATCTTCTAGTCCAGCCCCCTGCTGAAGCAGGAGAACCTACACCATCTCATACAGGTGATTGTCCAGTCTCTTCTTAAAAACCTCCAGTGATGGAGCGCCTACGATTTCTGAATTTATTTCATTTCATTTCATTTCATTCATTCAGCTGGTATCACCACCCATCTCCCATCGGTGCCTTGCTTAAAACTGAAATTAAGATTCAACTGTTTTATCTTAATGGAGACAGTTAATCATTTCTGCCTATCTCGGCCTTTGCCTAAAAATCTTGCTGATTTCTACGGCTGGCTAAGATCACATTTCCTTTTGCAGCCCTTCAGATTGGCGGGTAAAAAAATGTTGCTGACGCAGCAGAGAGATTTTTTTTTTTTAATAAAAATGGAGACTTCAGCTTCTTTAAATGGAAAACAGACAATATTGGTTTTCCCCTGCAGTTACTTCTCTCTGTTTTTAACACCCGGTTACTAAGATCTATGGTTGGTCTCCCTTCCTTTTGCTTCAGATCCTTATCTGTGGGTTTGGAAGGAGGAAGAATTAAAATGAACAACGCTTTTTTCTGAAGTTTTAGTGGTTGGTTGGTTTTTTTCCCCATTCTTTGCTCTTTCTTTCTTTTTTTCTTTTTTTCCTTCTTTCTTTCTTTCTTTCTTTCCTTCCTTCCTTCCTTCTCTTTTTCTTTCTTTCTTTCCTTCTTTCTTTCTTCCTTCTTTCTTTCTTTCTCTTTCCTTCCTTCCTTCTTTCCTTCCTTCTTCTCTTTTTCTTTCTTTCTTTCCTTCCTTCCTTCTCTTTCTTTCTTTCTTTCTTTTTTCTTCTTTCTACTTTGCATTTATAAAAGAGTTTGTATTTCAAACTCTCAAAACTTCCAGAAGTTGGGGGAGTTTTGAATTCAAAATATTCAGGATATTTTGCCCCCAGCGTGGCCCACCTTGCAGGGTTATTGTAAAAGATGGAGAAGAACACTATCCGGCGCTTTTGAACAGAAATAAACCCTTTTTTGCAGGACTTTCATTCCATTTCTGGCCGCTAGAGGGCAGGAATGAAGCGCTATGATTTCAGCCTTTTGCAATCGCCGGAGAGAAGCTTACGATAAATATCTTATTTCAGTGTATAAAGATTGAAGTATTTGATGAATAACTGGCTCAGGAGAGGTTTTTCACCACCACCCCGTCCCCACGGGACATGCCCTTTGTTTCAAACCTCAGAGTTAAACCACCAGCTCTCTTGCCCCACCCAGGATTATGAGTTCTTTTTTTGACCTCTTCTTTTTCAAGCCGCAAGAAATTGGGGATGGGCTATTAACCACTGATTATTAGGGAAATATTATTTCTGGCGGAAAGCAGTCTATGTGTCTGCTAAGAATCGAAAATTGGCATTGTCATTTAACTGGACAGCTATTTGTCTGAAATGGTCTAGGGTTGGACTAGAAGACCTCCAAGGTCCCTTCCAGTTTTATTTTAATTGATGGATTGATTCATTGATTGATTGATATGGTACAGGGTCTCCTGCCTGAGCAGGGGGTTGGACTAGAAGACCTCCAAGGTCCCTTCCAGCTGTATTCTGATTAAAATAGTATAGGGTCTCCTTCTTGAGCAGGGGGTTGGACTAGAAGACTTCCAAGGTCCCTTCCAGCTGTATTCTGATTGATGGATTGAAATGGTCTAGGGTCTCCTGCTTGAGCAGGGGGGTCAGGCTAGAAGACCTCTGAGGTGGGGAGCTGTGTAGGATGCCCCATAGCTACAAAAAATCTAAATATCTGTTGCAGGAAAAGTTGGAAAAAATGGCGTGGAAGAGCATGACATTGGACCTTTTTTAAAAAAACTCTTTTTTTCTTTTTTGAAGGCTCACAAAGCCAGGGAGGATGTATTTATTTATAATTTCCATACACACACACACCCCCAATGAGGCCCAGAAAACAGAGACACGGTTGCCTTTTTCAGGTCTGTATTTATTTTCTCAAACAAACCGCATACACAGTATGCCCACTGCAGAACAAACGCCCCCCCCCCAGACACACCCTCCTTTGTCGTCCCCCTCCAAGACACAGCAACGCTGGTCTGAAAGGAGACGTCCAACTTCCCCCCCCCACACACAGCACCCCACAAACGCAGGCCGTCCTTTTACTTGCCAAATGTATGACATCCAACCATTAAGCACCCCTTCTCTTTAATATAAAGCAAGACGTGGGCTTTTCCTAGGAGAGGAAAAAGGGGTCCCAAACCCACCCCCCTTCGCGGGTGGGTGGGTTGCAAAGCAACTTTTTTTCCCACCAGCTAAACCTGGTTAGAGCAGCAGGGAAACCAGGTTTCTTAACACTCTCCTCACGTGGGACCAGGCGGCTAAAAAGTCCCACCAGCCACCTGGTGCGTTTCCAGGCGGGCCTTTCTCACTTCCCCTGTCCCCTCTGCCAGCCTCACCCTCTGCTTCCCCTCCTCTTGAGAATAAATAATATTCTTTCTTTTTTTTTCCAAAAGGGGAAAGAGACATCAAATCCTTCCCCCAAAAGGAAGGAAACAAAGAGGAGGCCGGCTAATAAATCAAAGGAGAAGAGTCTTCCTTCTTCATCCTCTATTGGACTCGATCCATGGTCGCCAAAGAGATCGGAGGCTCTTGAGAGCGGGTTGCGTCCAATGAGCAGACGACGACGAGGCGGGCAGGGGTGTGTGTTGAAAATGATACATCAGCTTCTTCTGAGTCTGGGGGTGGACTTTGTGAAGGAGCAGGAACCGGGAGACCTCTTGAAGGCATCTGGCGTAGCCTTCTTGGAAGTCCACTTCCCTCTCCTTGGGAGCGGACCCTGTTGGGAAAGCCACCCAAAAAAAATATTGACATTTACTTTTTCTGCATCAAGCTTCTAGTCCCTTTGAAACCCCTTGGGAGGCAAGGTTGACGCAGTGGATCACAAGGGTGCAGGGTGGGGGAAGTGTGCCCATTTTCCAGGCATCCACCGGCTCAAACACGAAACCGGTGCTAAATCACCCCAAACGGGATAAAATTGGTTTTTCTTTGAGTAAAGCACACAAACCCTTTACCCATCCGAACAGGGACATTTAAATTGACTTAAAAGGGTTTCATGACACTGGGTAACAAGGACTTTCTGATCAGCAATGCTGGAATTAAGGAAAGAAAAACTCTCTGCGCTAGATGTTGCTTTGAACCCCATCAAGGTTAGCTAGGGGTTAGTTAGGGCCATCCTACCTTCACCCCACTTGTATTTTGCCTCCTCCCTTGGCTCCCTTTGCTCATTTTAATGTAAATACCCATCCTTTTTGAAACTTTTCACGTTTTATACTGCTGTTTTTAACCTCTCGCTAAGAGTCACCCAACAGTGAGATAGGCAGCATACGCATTTAATAAACCGATCATTAAAAATAAATCAGGCTATCTGTAGCCCAAATGGAAAACAAAAGCGAAAACAAGAGTTGGAAGGGACCTCAAAGGTCTTCTAGTCCAACCCCCCCCGCCCGCCCGCCCGAGCGGAAAACCCTGTTGCCATTTCGGACAAGTGTCTGTCCAGTCTCTTCTTGATTGATTGACACACCTGTACTCTGCCAGCGGCTGTGATGCTTCAGGTAGCCGACGGCCGTTTCAAGGACGTCGGCCTTCTCCAGCTTGGAACCGGCCTGCTGGCTTTGCAGCTGCTTCTCCAGCAGCTGTTTCAGCTGCTCGATGCTGCTGTTCATGCGGTCCCGGCGCATTTTTTCAATCATGGGTTTTCTCAGCTGCCAGAGAAGGAAGGAAGGAGAGAGAGAGAGAAAAAAGGAGGTGCATAAAAAGACTTGAAACAGCATCTCACCTTAAAGTCCGCTGCTTTTTTGTTTTGTTTTTTCTTTACCCCCTCCCCAGTTTTCAATTTCTACTCACTTTGTTTTTCTCCTTAGGGGTCAGCAGCCTGTTTTGGTCCAGGAAGATGAGATTGGAAGGCGTCATCCTTGCTCAGCTAGAGGAGAGGGGGAAAAAAACAAAAAAACTCGCTTTGCAACCCAGATTCTCTCCTCCATCCCATATTTATACCCCCAAACTTTGGTGAGTCTTTTCATCCTCACGGTTTCCCACAGTCCTCAGCCAATCAGGATTAAGCGGACCCTCTGGAAGGAGGGGGGGAGGAAAAAAGGGAGGTGGGAGAGGAAAAAAACCCCCAGTGTGTGTGTGTTTTCCATGCTCCATCAGTGGTCAATAAAGCATAATGACTCTCTCTTTTTTAAAAAAGAAAGAAAAAGAAAAGAGAGCAGGTGGAGAATCCGAGATACGCCAAAAATTAGGGATTATGTCTTCCAAGCGCAGTTGGGGAGCTGGGAATGCGGAGATGGCCATCACCACAAGGCGCGCTTTGCAGCCATTAAAAAAAAAATGGAAAGAGAGTATTTTTTTTTAAAAAAAAAATAAAGCCCCCAAATAAATGCCTGTATTTGGAAACAGGGCCTGCTAAATTCCTGCTAAGTGAGCTCTTGCAAGCGTTTTCTTCCTTTTCTCTTTTGCTCCTGCAGAGAAGCACAAATCCCTGCAGGGAGAGAGCTAACCCCTCAGGAAGAAAGTATGATTTTTAATCTGACATCAATTCCTCTGGAGAAGAGACCTTTCCAGAGGTGAAATTATCTCGATCCCTTCACCTGAGTTGCCAGGAAAGGGAATAATAATAGTAGTAGTAGTAGTAGTAGTAGTAGTAGTAGTAGTAATAACAATAATAATAATAATTGGATCCACACGCAGCAGGGGGATGGACTGAAAGACCTCCAAGGTCCCTTCCAACTCTGTTATTCTGTTATTTGTTTAACCAAAGGCAAGGTTGGCATAACGTAGTTTCCCAAATCACACCAACAGCTACCACGTTGTTGTGAAGACAAGCATTCAAATTTGATTCCTGGTGCGGAATAGAGACATTAGAGCAACAACCTTGGAAGATTTTGCAGAGAAGGTTTGAGTACAATTGTGTACATCGAGTAGAAACAAGAGATATAGATAGATAGATAGATAGATAGATAGATAGATAGATAGATAGATAGATAGATAGATAGATAGATAGATAGATAGACAGACAGATAGATAGATAGAATTGATAGATGGATAGATAGATAGATAGATAGATAGATAGATAGATAGATAGATAGATAGATAGATAGATAGATAGATAGATAGATAGATACAGAGAGAGAGATAAAGATAGATAGATAGAGATGATTGATAGATATATAGATGATAGATAGATAGATATAGATGATAGATAGTGACAACAAAATTATTATTCTATTCTATTCTATTCTATTCTGAATTCTATTCTATTCCTATTCTATTCTATTGATAGATGATAGACAGTGAAAATAAAATTATTATTCTATTCTATTCTGTTCTGTTAATTTCCAGGAGAGGCTGGGAAGTTTTAACAATGGGAAAAACATTGTTTTTCTCTCCCCTCCAAGACTTTAGAAGATAGGATGGGATGTACGTAGGCAATAAAGACATAAAAACCCGGTGCAATTTGCTTCGTCCAGGTCACAGGCCTTTCCAAATTGTAGCCCGGCGTGTGATTTTTAGTGCCCAGCGTGGATTTGAAAGACATTCTTTCTTTCTTCCATGATTGCCAGATGTGTTTTTTTGTTTTGTTTTAAGGCACATGCAAGATTTCAAAAGGGGAAAAAAAACAACAACAACACACCAAAACTTTTCAGTCCTCTTTTCCCAGATGGGCCACCTCCTTTCCCACTGAACACAAAGCCAAGTCAAGGAGTGTAACTAATGTGGGTTTTTGTGAACGGCACACGCCATGGTGTCGAGGGTGGGTGCCATTCAGAAAATGTGTGGGAAACACCGAGGATTTCAAACCAGAACTGAGCGCCTTAGCCATGTGGCAGGGAAGACGGATTCCGGAGTGGGGGGGGGAAGGGATGAGACCTCAGAGGTCTTCTAGTCCAGCCCTCTGTCCAAGAGGAGAAGGCACTCCATTCTGGACACATATCTTTCTTCTTAAAAATCTCCAGTGATGGGGCACCCACAACGTCTGGAGACAAGTTGTTGCGCTGACAAATTGTTGTCAGAGTGTGGAAATTTCTCCTTGGTTCTAGGCTGGGTCTCTCCTGGATTAGTTTCCATCTCTTGGGAATTTAGATCACCATCCTGGATCTGAGGGTGGCCTTAGTAAAACCTGGGGGCTGGACTAGAAGACCTCTAAGACCCCTTCCAGCTCTGTTCTGATTCTGCGTTAAAAATGGCACCTCTCTATTTGGGGCTGGGGGTGGATGGGAAGCCCCAATATTTTGGCAGAAGGAGGAATGAAACAAACAGGGAAGAGGTGGACTAGAAGATCTTCAAGGTCCCTTCCAGCTCTATTCTGATTGATTGATTAATTGATTGAGTTGCTATTGAATAAATAGGAGATTTCCCATCTTCCCTGCCCTCAATTTTATTCTAGAGGGGTTTTTTTTAAATGCTTGTCAGGGCACAGCTGCACCAGGTGATAAACCTTTAACCAACCTTAGCCAAAAAAAACCCTTCACTATGTTTGCTTAGAGAGGTCTGCTGATCTCTCTCCAAAATCAGAATACAGAACAGCAGAGCTGGAAGGGATCTTGGAGGTCTTCTAGTCCAGCCCCCTGCTCAATAGACCCTGTACTATTCAGAAAAATGGTTCTCCCAATCTTTTGTGAGAAACCTCCACAACTTCTGGAGGCAACGTCACTATGGTTTAAACATAGCTTGAAGAAGGCTTGGCTTTGATGTTCCAGAATGACTTCTATGCTCTCCAGTTTGAATGGAGGGATGTGTAGGGGAGAAAAACAGAACAGCAAACGTTGTGGTTGCAAAAAGTGTTTTGATTTCGTTCTTTTTGTTAGGGGAAAATCAATAAGAATAGGACTAAGAACAGGAAAGAATAAGAAGAAAAATAGGAAAAAAGAAAAACAGGGAAGAATAATACGAAAGAATAAGAATGGGAAAAAAATAGAATAAGAAAGAATAAAAATAAGAAACAGAATAGGAATGAGAATAATAGGAAAGCATAAGAATTTTAATAAAAATAGGACAGAATAAGAAGAATAGAGAATACAAGTAAAAAAGGAAGGTATCAAAAGAAGAGTAAGAAAGAGTACGAACAGGAAGGAATAACAGCAAGAACAAATAAGAATAATATAGCAGCTATTATAGTTGTGCTCATTCCTGTTAGATACGCAGTTCCTTTTTCCTCCAAATTTTTTATTAGTTATAAAACACAAATGGAACAAAGATTGGAAAGAGGGAGAAAGAAAGTGATACAAGGTTAAAAAAAAAAAAAGAATAGAAAAGCCGAGATTTCAATGCAGTAGCATACAAAATTCAGTGGCCACCTCAATTTTACACTTTTGGTAGATACAAGCCACACTGTTTTTATAAGATAGGCTGAGTTTTTTTTAATATCAATTAATTAAATAAACTAGTTCACCAAACTTGCAGCACTGCCCATCGGCCCAAAGGGACTCTGATGGGGAATTTTGCTGTCCCCCTCCTCCTCCTCCTCACCCCCCAACCCATTTCATCTCCTCCTCCCCCCCCCTCCTTCCCATGTCTGCCAGGCTGCGGGCAGATGTGGGGCTGGGAGTCTGGGGGGGCAAGCACAAGCTTTGGGCCCCAGGTTTCCCACAGCCCGGCCCCATTCAAGCCATTGAAGGCGGTTGAGAACGGAAGTGTGCCAGGTTACAAGCCGAATTAGCGATGCTCTTTGACTTCCCTTTGTGGCCGGGGTGAGAATCGGGGAGGGGCGTCCCTGGGGAGGGCCATCTGCATCGCATTGACCGGCCAGGGCTGCCAAAAGCCATTGATCACGGCTGCTCAAAGGGGTCTCGGGGAAAGCTTGTCTGCTTCCCCACGCCCTGGCTGAACATCTGGCTGGGTTGGAGGCCAAGGGAAGGAGAAGGGGGATCAGCGGCGGAGAGTCTGAAAGGCCAGGGGAGGGTTTATTTTGGGGGGGGGGAAACTTAAGGGAGCCAGCCAGTCCTTGGTCCCTCCAGAGGAAGGTTGAGGAATCAGAATCAGAATAGAGCTGGGAGGGGCCTCGGAGGTCTTCTAGTCCAGCCCCCTGCTCAAGCAGGAGACCCTAGACCATTCCAATCAATCAGAATAGAACTAGAAGGGACTTTGGAGGTCTTCTAGTCCAGCCCCCTGCTCAAGCAGGAAACTCTAGACCATTTCAATCAATCAATCAATCAATCAGAATAGAACTAGAAGGGACTTTGGAGGTCTTCTAGTCCAACACCCTACTCAAGCAGGAGACCTTAGACCATTCCAATCAGTCAATCAATCAATCAATCAATCAATCAGAACAGAGCTAGAAGGGACCTTGGAGGTCTTCTAGTCCAGCCCCTTGCTCAAGCAGGAGATGCTTTCATACAGTATAACAGAGGTGGAAGGGACCTTGGAAGTCTTCTAATCCAGCCCCTTGCTCAAGCAGGAGACGCTTTCATACAGTATAACAGAGGTGGAAGGGACCTTGGAGGTCTTCTAGTCCAGCCCCCTGCTCAAGCAGGAGAGTAGTCTAGACCATTTCAGATAGGTGGCTGTCCAGGAGAGCCTCTGGATGGCCTTAGAAGGTCTGGATGCCCCCTGATTGTTGACCCCAGGGAGGAAAAACATTCCCAGTTCAATTATCCCAAGTAAAACCCTCTAGGCTGGGTCCACCCATACCTTTTTGGCCCCAAAGTAGGGGACAAAAGTAGGGCACTAGACCTCATGATCTCTTGCTTCCTAGCCTGCTGCCTTAACCTCCCTAGACCCAACGGGCTCCTTACAGGGATGTTGTGTGTGTGTGTGTGTGTGTGTCGGAGGAAGGACCATCCAGGCAGGCTGTGTCTGGCCAGAGGAGAAGGCGGAGGAAGACCAAGGATGGTGAGGAGGCTGGAAAGCCCCCCCCCTCGCATGGCCAACCGCCAGGCTTGGTCCAAAGCTTCCTCGGGGCTTTCCCAGCGGCCCCGGGAGATCCTCAAAGCTCTTTTGAGACCTAATTGATTCTTCCCACCAGGCACCAGGCCGTGCAGCAGGCTGCGCCATTGGCAAAAAGGTCAGCTCTTTCCCAGAGGCAGAGACCCTGCCCCACAGGCTGGCCTTTGTTTCACCCACAGGCCGGCTATTGACGTGCAAAAGAGCTCAAATCCCACCCCCCCCCCAGCTTTTCAGAGTTAATAAAGCAGGAAATAATAAATCCCTCTTAGCCCCCCCCTGGAGAGGAGGGGGCTTGTGGGAATTTGCACGAGGCAGAAAAAAAAAGGCCGGGCATGTGGATTTTTTTGTGTGTGGGGGGGGGGAGAGATGAAATGGGTCAAGAGATTGAGCTGTACCAAGAATGATTATTTTTTTTTAGGGAGGGGGGAGAGAGAGCACACGGGCAAGGTGGAAATGAGGGGGGGGAAGAGATCATGCAACGCAGCCTCCAAGCCTTGGCGAGGGTCTTTCCAATCCCCCCCCCTTTTCTGGAACAAGAAATCCAGATTGTTTGGCACTCTCAACAGAGGCGAAAACTCAACCTTTATTCTCCGATTATCCTTTATTCTTTTTTAATATTTATTTATCTATTAAAATGATACTTTGCCCGTCTCGCTGTTTGATAGGTGATAAATTTTCAGTTTAATTCTCTTCTCCCCATTCCTTCTTGTATTCTCTCTCTCTTTCCTTTCTGGCACTGAGCTGGGTTAAGACTAGATGACCTCTGGGGACCCTTCTCTTCCCTCCGTTTCTTCTCTGGCCATTCCCCCTAGCCCCCCTTTTTTTAACTTACTTCTCGGATCACAGAGGGAGGCTCAGCCAATTTCACTGTATACCTGCTATCCTTTGATAATAAAGGGTTTATTATTTATTTTATTATTTATTATATTATCCTTAAACCAGCTACTTTGGGTCCCCCCCAGCATGAAAAACAGACTCTCTGCTTCCCTGGAGCCTCTAAAATGGGTGGTCTTCTCTTTCTGTGTGTGTGTGTGTGTGTGTGTGTGTGTGTGTGTTTTTGTCTCTGTGTGTGTTTCCTTGGCATCCACGGGATTCCCCCCCCCTTGCAGGAACCACGTGGTGTTTGCAGCGGGCCATAGATGTCCCATCAAGGGCTGGGTGGGTTTCAGCTTGTCCGCCTTTCCCACACTCCCCCCCTCCTTGTTAGCACAATAGAAGTGTGCCTTGGCACAATCAGAGACATTAGTAACAGTGCTTGAACCTCAATGGTGGGTGGGGGCAGGCCCGGTCCCAAAAGACCATCTGGTTAGTGGTGTCAAACCCACATGGCCAGTTGGACGCGCTTTGATCTGCCCCGCAGCCCCTTTTAAAACGAGACTTTACAACGTTGAGCTGGCTGGACTTCAACTCCCAGAATTCCCCAACCAGTGAATTTAACTGATTGAACTGGTCCCGTCCTTGTCCAAAGGGTGTGGCTGAATCTGGGGCTTGATCCAATTCCTTCTTAGGAACTAGCTCCTTAGGGAGGCTGGGTCGAAGCCCCCAAGTTTGGAACTTTTCAGCCTACCTGGCAGGCACGTTGTGAGAGTCAAGGGCCATCACTGGAGATTTTTAAGAATAGATTGGACAGCCATTCGTCACAAGTGGTCTAGGCTAGGGACTCCTGCCTGAGCAGGGGGTTGGACTAGAGGACCTCCAAGGTCCCTTCCAAGCTCTATTCTGATTGATTGATTGATTGAAATAGTCTAGGATCTCCTCCTTGAGCAGGGGGCTGGACTAGAAGACCTCCGAAGTCCCTTCCAGCTTGATTCTGATTGATTGATTGAAATGGTCTAGGGTCTCCTGCCTGAGCAGGGGGCTGGACTAGAGGATCTCTGAGGTCCCTTCCCACTCGGCTATTGCTATCGTATTGTCCAGGATGTGGAGCCCTGGTTCCTGCCTGCTTTTCTCTCCTGCGCTTCCCAAAGGAAGCCGACTTTAACCTGGCTAGCCCCTCCGAGTGGGACTTCCATCATAGTTCAGGAATGCTACTCATCCCCAATCAAGGGGGCTGCTCAGAAAAGAGGGAGGGGGGGCTTTGGTGATAGAGATTTCCCCCCCCCCCCGCCCAGCAATTCTGGCACCTTTGCCATGGGAGGCTGTGCATCCTGGCCCAGGCAGAAGGTGACTCTCTCGCAGGCATTGAAAACCAGTCTAGCGTGGGCTAAGGGGTGCCTCCTCCGGGCTCCCGCCACGAGTCTGGATCGACCAGGGGGGAGTGTGGGAAACGCCAACTTGTGGGAAACTCACAAGGCTTCCCCCAGCCAAGGGTGGGTATAAATAGAGGGGGAGCCAGGAGCAGGGCTTGAGCTCCCATCCGGCGGATCCAACCCAACGGCCTTTCATCGGCTCGCTCTTCTCTTGCTGACCGACAATAATGGCCCCCGCTGCTGGTAGCCCCCGATGCCTCTTGCGGGTGGAGGAGGAGAAAATGCTGGCCAAGGAAAAAAACAAGGTAATGGGGCACCCTGCAAGCTGTGCACGCCAGGGTTTGTTTGTTTGGTTTTTGTTTTTTAACAAATTGGATCATTGTTTGGGTGAAATGGTCTAGGGTCTCCTGCCTGAGCAGGGGGTTGGACTAGAGGACCTCCGATGTTCCCTTCCGACTTTGTGATTCTGCAGTTCTGTTAGCTCTGCATCCCTGGCAAGCCTCCTTGGGCTTCCCGGCTGGATGTCCATCCAGGTTGGCTGTTAGCAAGTTAAAAAATAAAATAAAATCAAATAAATCCAAATAGGGTGTGATTCAGAGATGCAGTTTTTGAAGGAAGAGAGGAAGAAAGAAAAGAAAGAGAGAGAGAGAGAGAGAGAGAGAGAGAGAGAGAGAGAAAGAAAGAAAGAAAGAAAGAAAGAAAGAAAGAAAGAAAGAAAGAAAGAAAGAAAGAAAGAAAGAACTTCTGCAAGGAAAAAAGTATCCAGTTGCAGCTATCTAGAGGAGGATGTTTGCCCAGTAGAATCCTAGAGGTCATCCAATCCAACCCCCTGCTTAGGGGACAGCTTGTTGTTCTCCTCTGTTTGAAGGCCTCTCCTAAAAAAAGACAGAAAAATCTCAAACTGATTGCAGGAAACATAGTTTTTCTAAAGGGAGGAAAGTTTTTTTCCCCCCCTCTTCCCTCCAAGTTTTATGACTACTGCTTCCTAGGTTTTGTGTTTAGCTTGAAGTTTTAATCGTTCTTTCTTTTCTTTTTTCCTTCCTTCCTTTTTTTTCTCCCCCCCCCCCCAGCTGAGGAAACCAGCTGTGGAGAAAATGCGCCGTGACCGAATCAACCACAGCATCGAACAGCTGAAAGTTCTGCTGGAGAGGGAATTCCAGCGTCATCAGCCCAACACCAAGCTGGAGAAAGCTGACATTTTGGAAACGGCCGTCAGTTACCTGAAGAAACAGCGTCAGATGCACGAAGCAGGTTAAAAAAAATGCAAAAACTGGGGTTGATCCTCTAAGCGCCCGGCGTTTTTAATTATTAGATGCAATAGCACGCAAATGACCAGGAAGGGAGGGATGATTTTAAAGCCTCTGATGAGTCAATCAAATGCCATGAATCCATTTGGCCAACCAGAACTTGGGATAATAGGTTCCCGAGTTAAATCTCAGACTCACCAAGCCGTAAAAGGAGGGACCCTTGGAGATCATCTAGCCCAGTGGTTCTCAACCTGTGGGTCGGGACCCCATTTGGGGTCGAAGGACCATTTCACGGGGGTCGCCAAACAACGCAGTCCGCCATTTGTCCCCCCCTTTTCCTTAGCTGTGCTCCTCCCTTTTATTCTATTGGCTTTGGAAAACCAATAGAATAGACTCTCTCGAATAGAGTCTAATTCTATTGGCTTTCCAAAGCCAATAGGAATTGTCCAGGCGGTCTCTGCCCTGCTGAGCCCGCCAAAAGTCCCCTTCTGCAAACGGCGCTGCACCAGTTGAGTAGTCCTCGACTTACGACCGGTTGAGTAGTCCTCGACTTACGACCGGTTGAGTAGTCCTCGACTTACGACCGGTTGGGGGTCGCGGCATTAAAAAGGTTGAGAACCACTGCTCTAGCCTAACTCGTCTGGGAATCCCTCCAGCTGCGCTCAGGGGAATAATCACTCACTTTCCTGTTTGAGGTGGCCTGGTTCAGATTACATTTGCAAGCCAGGATCTTCACGAGGGGGGGGTGTCAATAAACCTGGTTATTCAATGAACCCCTTGTCTTCCTGAATTGACCCATATATGGAGATTTCATTCAGTTATCCAACTTTTTTTTTTTTTTTTTTGCCTCCGAGATAATTGACGGTGGTCTCCTCCTCTTCTTTCTCTCTAGCCCCGGGTGCGAAACACCCCGAACTTGACTTCAACACGGGCTACCTGCGCTGTTTAAGGGAAGCCTTTTATTTCCTCTCCTTCTGCCAGCCCAAGGGGGAGAGCCAAAGCCGGCTGATCAAGCATTTCTGCCAAATGCACAACATCCCCGACGACGCCACTTTCTCCCTCCTCTCGTCTCCGGCACCCAAGAGACCCTCTGCGGCGGAGAAGAGGCCTCCCCCACCGGCCTCGGCGTTCCTCTGGAGACCGTGGTAGAGCTGCCGCCCATCCCAGCTGAAGACCAGCCAGGGGGGCTTTTCCAGATTGGAAAGGGCCCTCTCGGTCCACTTAGGAAACAGTTGGTTTCCACCCAGGAGAAGAATTTAAGTAGTGTGTGTGCATATGTGTGTGTGTGTGTGTGTGTGTTTTTCTCCGTTATTGGAGAAGAGAGAGAGAGCGAGTCCTCTCCCCCCCCCAGTTTTTTTTTCCTTCATAGTGAAGGGATGAGTTCTGCAGGAACAGAGAGATAATTTTTTTTTATCTAACTCTCTTTCTTTCTTTCTTTCTTTCTTTCTTTCTTTCTTTCTTTCTTTCTTTCTTTCTTTCTTTCTTTCCTTTCTTTCTTTCTTTCTTTCTTTCTTTCTTTCTTTCTTTCTTTCTTTCTTTCTTTCTTTCTCTTTCTTTTCTTTTCCTTTCAGGGCAAAGCTCCAGGCTATATCAAACCCAGTGGGTTTAGGGTCTGGGGGGGGGGCATTGGGAGAGGGGCTTCTTCTCATCCAGTTCTGGAAGCTTTGCTTTGCAAAAAGAGAGAGAGAGAGGAGTGGCTGAAAGACTGTGGGAATCTCTGGGAAATGGGAGGTCCTTCGGAAAAAAGGGTGCTTTGGGGTTTTCAAGGTGTGGTTTGAATCAAAAAGTTTACTTCCTTTCTTCTCTTCCTTTTCTTTCCTCTCTCCCTCCCTTGCTTCTTTTGTTTTTTTATGCCTTCTTTTTTCCTTTCTTCCTTTCCTTTCTTTCTGTCCTTCCCTTCTCCCATCCCTTCTCCTTCCTTCCTTCCTCCCTCCCTTCCATCTCCTCTTCCTTCCTTCCTTCCTTCCTTTCCTTCCTTCCTCCTTCCTTTCTTCCTCCCTCCCCTTCTCCTAACCCTTCCCTCTTCCCATTTTTAAGGGACCGCTTTCCTGCAAATCCTGTAATTCCTCGGGAGATGGGTCTTTTCAATGTTTCTTTCATTTTTGTCAGAAATCCGGCTGCCTTTTGTGAAGGCTCTGCTAGCTTATGTATCTTTAATAAGGAAAAAAAAAAAGGAACATGGGTACGACAGTCTGCGCTGGCTGGAAGTGACCCAGCCAGAGGACTTTGTGTTTTGACGATTTCAGAATATTGCTGTGATTTAAATTCCTCTGATGCCAATTAAATATATGTATATAGATATATATATATATACACACATACACACGTGCGTGCGTGCGTCTACATCTCTGCGGGCAAATTCTTCCTTTCAGATTCCGGAATAGTTCATGAAACAAATGCAAAACACAAATGGGGCTGTCTTTGGAAGGGAACCATAAGAGGGACTGTGATTTAGGGGGTAGACTGCGCCTGTACATGGCAGTTCCATTGCCGGAGCAAAAGCCATTACTTTTCCATTCAGTTTGGGAAGACTGGGTTTATTTTAAAGTATTGAAATTATTTCGGATCCGTTCTTGGGGGGGTGCCAAAAACATCCCGTTCAATTGCCCCCCCCCAAATTGGTGATATGGAGCAACTAAAAACAGGAACGCAGCTAAATGAAGGAATGAAGAATCCTTGATTCAAATCAACTGCCATGAATCAATTTGGCCAATCAGATCTTGGGATAATAGGCTCCTGAATTAAATCGGAGAATTCACCGACCCATAAAATAAGGGGTCCTTAGAGATCATCTATTCTAGCCTAACTCGCTGGGAATTCCTCCAGCTGCCATAATAGCTGACTTTCCTGGTTGAGGTGACATGATTAGGATATATTTGCAAGCCAGGATCTTCAGTAACCTGGTTACTGAATTAACCCAGTTCTTCCTGAATTGACCAGTATGGATATTTTATTAAGTTATCAAATAGCAGCACGTCAGGCTAAAATACACACCCAAATTAATCCGTGCCAAATTTAATGTATGGTTAGGCAGAGTTTCTCGACTTTAACCGTTTTAAGATGTGTGGACTTCCAACTCCCAGAATTCCCCAGCCAACACAGAGGAGAGGAGAAGAGAGGAAAGGAAAGGAAAAAGGAAGAGAAAGAGAAGGGGAGGAAAGAGAAAGGAGGGAAAAGGAGAAGAGAAAGGAAAATAAAGGAAGAAGTGAGAAAAGGGGAAAGGAAAGGGAGAAAAGAGGAAAAAAAGGAAAATTAAATAATAAAATAATAAGATGGATGTGATGACAAGATAGAAATTCTTTTTAAAAAAATAGCTGCAGCCTGGGAGGGGGGGAGGTTGTTTGATTATTTTTTTGCCACGCAAATCCCATCATCCTTGTCCCTTGCCCCCTCAGACTGATGGGAATGGTAGTCCAAATCCCCCGCCAAGTAGATGGGCTTTACGCCTTTTGAAAGGCCTGCAACCTCCGCCCGATTCCCATCCAGCCACCTTTTCCTGGGGGCTCCGGAGGGGGGGGGAAGCAATCTTTATGATGTTGACTCTCCCCCCTCGGAGGCCTCTCTGGATAATAGCCCCCTATTAACCCCCACCCCATCCCACCCCCATTGTTTTCTGGGCATTTCCCACACTTTGGCATCCCTTGAAACAGTTCGCCAATGGAAACACCCAAAAGAAAAGGTGCGGCGGTTTCTATCCACCCCAGTGGAAAAACGGGCCTATGAAGATCAAATTGTTTTCTCTGAAGACCCTTTCCAAAAATCTGGGAACAGCCAGAACAGCTCCCCCCCCCATCTCTCTCTCTCTCTCTCTTTTTTTTTTTTTTCTTGGAAATCCAGCAAGCTGTCCCGGTCAGTTTCAGCCTTCTCAGTCTGAAATGACTTCTGTTTTTCTACTTTGTGGTGATCAAGTGGCTTGAGGAAACCCCCCCCCCCAAATTTCTCAGGGAAGGGACCTTGGAGGTCTTGTAGTCCAACCCCCTGCTCAAGCAGGAGATCCTAGATCATTTCAATCAATCAGAATAGAGCTGGAAGGGACCTTAGAGGTCTTCTAGTCCAGCCCCCTGCTCAGGCAGGAGACCCTACACCCTTTCTGACAGAGGGCAGTCCAGTCTCTTTTTGAAAGCTTCTGGGGCAAGTTAAGGTCGTAAAACGGGGCGAAACTCACAACCACCATCTATCTCGCTTAGCAACAAAAACGTTGGGCTCCCTTGCGGTCGTTAAGACGAGGACTAGCTTTATTTATCCAAAATCTGACACCCTGGCATTTATTTCTACGAATCCTGCTTTCCTCTTTTGGGGGCCTCTCCTTAAAAACTCCAGATCCTTTAAAAAAAAAATTAAAAGGGGGATTTTATTTTATTTCTCCCCCCCCCCTCCAAGTTGGGGCAAGGAAGGTTTGTGCCCACCCGCCCTTGTTACCTCTGTCTGCAAGGGGTGACTGGGAGGACGCCACGATCTGATGCTCGGGGCGGCTGGCGGTGTGATCCCGTAAAAATCCCTTTTCCCACACCGGGTCTCATTCATGGGATTAAAGGGCCCAACAAAAGACATGAGCCGGGAGCATCTGGCTTGCTGCCTGCAGGGATCAGATTCGGGAGAGGGAAGGTGGGCGGATGGGTGGTTGGGAGATTAATAATAATAATAATAATAATAATAATAATAAAGTTGGAAGGGACTTTGGAGGTCATCTAGTCCAACCCCCTGCTCAGGCAGGAAACCCTATACCATTTCAGACAAATGGCTGTCCAGTCTCTTCTTAAAAACTTCCAATGTTGGAGCATTCACCGCTTCTGGAGGCAGGTTGTTCCACTGGTTAATTGTTCTAACTGTCAGGAAATTTCTCCTTAGTCCTAAGTTGCTTCTCTCCTTGATCTCCTTCAGCTTCATCCTTGTGCGAGCCAAAGACCCCGAGTGGGACCTTGTCGAAACATCGCCAATATACTCTCAATTTTGCTGTTTGACTATGAGATGCCTTTCTTGGCATGGGCAAGCTTTAGAGACCCACAGAACGCTATGTGTGTGTGTATATATATATATATATATATATATATATATATATATATATATATATATATAGGTCTTTGGTTGTTCGGGTTTTCTCCCGCGTAAAATTGGAAGTGTCTTGGCAACGTTTCGACGAAGTCACATTCGTCATCTTCAGGCTGGTGTTTTTAGCTTCTTGCTTTGAGCAGCAATGTGTGGTTTTAGCTGTTTCTTCCTTTTAACTGCCAGTGAGGGTATGAACTGATTGGATGGGAGCTTGGCTGTGTTCTGATTGGGTGGAGGTGTGTTCTGAATGGTTAGGGGCTTGGCTGTGCTCTGATTGGCTGGGGGAGTGTTCTGTTTGGTTGTGCTCAGGTTAGTCTGAGTTGCAGAGGGGTTTAAGATTTTGGGGTTAGGGAGTCGTTTGTCAATAAGGGCAGGTTTCCAAATGGCTGGTAGGCGGGAGGTATCATCTCGCTTGTTCATGCTGTGTGGGCGTTTTTCTATCTCGATGGCTTCTCTGATTATTCTGTTATTAAAATGTTCACTTTTGGTATTTTTAAAGTGAACATTTTAATAACAGAATAATCAGAGAAGCCATCGAGATAGAAAAACGCCCACACAGCATGAACAAGCGAGATGATACCTCCCGCCTACCAGCCATTTGGAAACCTGCCCTTATTGACAAACGACTCCCTAACCCCAAAATCTTAAACCCCTCTGCAACTCAGACTAACCTGAGCACAACCAAACAGAACACTCCCCCAGCCAATCAGAGCACAGCCAAGCCCCTAACCATTCAGAACACACCTCCACCCAATCAGAACACAGCCAAGCTCCCATCCAATCAGTTCATACCCTCACTGGCAGTTAAAAGGAAGAAACAGCTAAAACCACACATTGCTGCTCAAAGCAAGAAGCTAAAAACACCAGCCTGAAGATGACGAATGTGACTTCGTCGAAACGTTGCCAAGACACTTCCAATTTTACGCGGGAGAAAACCCGAACAACCAAAGACCTATATACAAATACCCGCGAAAACCTCAGAAAACAAATATATATATATATGTATATATATATATATAATTTTTGTGTGTGTGTGTGTGTACGGGTGTGTGTGGGTGTAGGTAGCGCTTGACCTCCAGGACGTTTCCGACGCCAAGCTCCCACAATCCCATAATAATAGCCCGGGCTATTTCCCACGTTTTTTGGGGGGTTTTTTTTTGATCTTTGGAGCCCTTCTTGTTATTCAAACCGACCACCTGCTCCTCAGGGATCGGGCTATTCTCTCGCGTTGATTCACAGTTAATTTACCATCCCATAATGTACGAGTTTGCTATTGTCCAGCAGAAGGGTGAGGATTGGACAGGAGTGTGGGAAACGCCAAGCCTGGCTGAACCCAGGCTCTTGAATGCCACCGCCAGGGTATAAAGAGAAGTCTCTCTGTTTCCCCACCGCACTTACAAGCCAGAGATTGGCTTGGAATGCTGGTTTGGGTAGCCGGCAAGTAAGTATCTTAATTTTTTTTTTCTCTCGCTTTTTCCCACCTGGAGTCTTTCTAAGTTTGGCTAAGAGCAGGAAGAGGTGGACTCGGAAGGGAAGAGAGACAGAGGGGGGGTCTAATTGTCTGTCTCTGCTTGTTTGTGCTGTAGCAAGTAGCCAGGATGGACAAAGTGAAGCCATGATGGTACAGAAGCCAGCATGTGAAAGAGGGATGAAGAATGACTTCTGTAGAGACCACTTTGGGAAGAACTGAGACTTGATCATCAGGTCCCCAAAATACAGCCATGGTGAGTGGACACTGATTATTTCTTTTCCTTCCTTCCTTCCTCCCTCCCTCCCTCCCTCCCTCCCTCCCTCCCCATTTCCTTCCTTTCCTCTCTCTCCATCCTTTCCTTCCTCCCTCCCTTCCTTTCCATCTCTTTCCTTCCTTTCCTTCCTCTCCTTCTATCTCCTTCCTTCCTTCCCGCCTTCCCTTCCCGCCCTCCCTGTCCTTCCTTCCTTCCTTCCTTCCTTCCTTCCTTCCTTCCTTCCTTCCTTCCTTCCTTCCTTCCTTCCTTCCTGAGATAAGAACCAGGACAGAGCAAAACCACCTTTTTTCAATAACTGAGTCCTTTGTTACCTGTCCCAGAATCACGTCTTTAAATTCTATTTTTTTTTTCTTTTTACTTTTTCACAGGGAGAATAGATTCCACCTTGAACCGGGACCATGGCACCGTCTCGGCAAAGACTGCGCAGATCCCAGCTCTCTGCTGGACCAGCTCTTAAATCTTTTCCCTAGTCTTACGACAACGCTGATCAAGAACACGGCTTCCCCCGAAGGGACCGACTCAGAAAGACATCGGGGCCAGAAGCGAGTTTGGGACTGGGCGGGATTTTCTCGGACCCCTGCCAGATAATCCAGAGGGCTTGATTTGCTGTATGCATTGCCATTCTTGGTAGCTTTAAGCGAGGCGGACTTCAACTCCCAGAATTCCCCAGCCAGCTGAGGAATTCTGGGAGTTGAAGTCCACCCCTCTTAAAGTTGCAAGGCTGAGAAACACTGCGCTAAGCAGTAGGGCCATTGTCCCACGTTAAGATATGCCTCCCTTCCCTTCCATCTCCTTCCTTCCTTCCTTCCTTCCTTCCTTCCTTCCTTCCTTCCTTCCTTCCTTCCTTCCTTCCTTCCTTCCTCACTCCCTCCCGCCCTCTCTCCTTCCCATCTCCTTCCTTCCTTCCTCCCTCCCATCTCCTTCCTTCCTCCCTCCCTCCCTCCCTCCCTCCCATCTCCTTCCTTCCTTCCTTCCTCCCTCTCTCCCTCCCATCTCCTTCCTTCCTTCCTTTCTTCCTTCCTTCCTTCCTTCCTTTCTTCCTTCCTTGGGAAGCTTTTTAGATGTTCTATGAGATTTGTACACTGCATTTATCTGCCAAGATGACATGTTTATTGCAATGCTAATAATTCCAAGAACATTCTTGGAAGTGGTTTGGCTTTCGAAACGGGAGCGCTTCTGTTCACCAAGTTGAACAAAGGCCTTTGATGAAGGGCCAAGCTAAGTTGTGTGTCCTTATAGGAACCAGGGAAACAGCCCCGTGGGCTGGTTTTTGTTCGGGCAAAGTTGAAGGGCGGGGATGTACAAATTGTATTTCCACTCACTCTTTTTTTTTTTCTTTGGCTGGGGTGGGGGTGGTTTATACAGATGTACTTGTTTTATAGTCCTTGCAGGACGGAATTGTTGTTGATGTATTGTAAACATGCGTCGGAATTTGTACCCCGCTACAAGGGGGCACAGTTTTAAGCTTTTGCACAGCAATGGGGAAGAGGAGAAAAATAAATAAAAATCTGTTTTTCAGCCACGTCAGTGCATCCAAGTGCCTTATTCTGAGCAGGATAAGGAGGGGTTGGACTAGAAGACCTCCAAGGTCCCTTCCAACTGTGTTATTCTGTTGTTATGGGTGGGATGCTCTAACTTTCTTAGCTGAGTGGAGAATCTAGCCAATTGTGAATGTACTGAAGCCATCATGGCTTAGGGTGTTGCAAAAACAACTGTTGTGTCCAGTGATGTTTACCCCCAAGTTAGTCTGCAGTTTTAGAATGAATGTAGAACTGTTGATTGCATTTGCACACTGCATTTCGACCTTGGTTACTACAAAGTTGCAGAAGAGCAAAACCGTGTTCTTTTTAATTAAATTAATTTCATTACAGTTTACAGAAACATTTCTGTTCGTAGATTGCATGGCATTTTGGGGGGGGGGGTAAAGAAAGGAAAAACCGAAACATAACCCAAATATAAAATGACAAACTTAACATTCTCAGATTTGCTGCCAGCCACCCAGCGAAGGCCTTTTTCCATTCCGTATTTCTGAGTTTTCCCCATGGTTCAAATCCCAGCTGAAATTCAGTGAACGGGGAGAATACCGAAAGAAGAGCTTAGACGAACAGAAATGCTTAAAAATAAAAGTTTTTTTATTTTATTTTTAAAAATGTGTTTTTAAAAGAATAGGAACCA